GGGCGGTGGTGGGTGTCTCGGGCGAGCGCTGGGGAGGGGAGGGGAGGGAGGAGAGGAGTCCGTGCGTCCTCGTCGCGGGGGAGGGGCGGTGGGGTGGGAGGGGAGTGCTTGGCGGGGTGGTGGTGGGGGAGGAGTGGAGAGCCCGCCCGCCCGCACGTCGCGGCATGCCATGGCCATGGTGATCCGTCCATCCACCATCGACGCGCCGCCTGAATCGGCAGCCGGAGGTCCGCGGGAGTCAAGCACCGGGCCTTCGGTCTTTCCGGTTTGCCTGGTCCGGTTTTTTCCGGTCTTTCAAAAAAATCGGTCTTCCCTAGTTGACGACCGGGATTATTTTTGTTTCCTCGGTTCTCTGTTCGTCGGTCTTCGGTCTTTCCGGTTTGCCTAGTCCGGTTTTTTCCAGTCTTTAAAAAAAAGATGGTCTTTCGTAGTCGACGACCGAAATTATTGTTGTTTTCTCGTCGGCCGTCGGTCTTTGCAGTACGGTGTTTGCCCTGTTTGGTCCTGACTAAATGTATAAAATTTCATGCTACAACCTCATATTCATGCACATTACAATTCGGGAACAAAACAACCCACGCATGAAATGAAAGCCTTCCAGACACTGGCGGAGCTATGTGATAACAAACCAATGCCATGGCCCACCCAAGCCTAGTGAAAACCAGTGAGGAGTGACAGTAAAATTGACATACGGAAACAAAAAGTTTGGGACTTCTTTAGAATGGCCCGATCGGCTCTTAAATTGTAGCTTCGGCGCTGCTGCCAGAGCTTAGGCACTCTCGGCCGTCGGATGCGCTTCTTGATATGTTTTGGGCCGTCTGATCTAACTCCCAGATGAGATCAATCGTTTACCGAAGCACTGTATCAAGGGCATCTGTGGCCTTCCAGTGTTAGCGGTGTGGCCACAAGAGAGCCTGGTGTATGCCTTCCACGGTGAAATTATCAAGCCACCGCCTGATATTTTCCTACCCCACCAAAAAAAAAGCTAAGATTTTGCATGGAGGATCGTGCGTGTTAGCCGTCTGTCGGCTCGGCGATGGAGAAGGTGAGGGAGAACCCATAGGATTTCCCTCAATCAGCTTCCTTCTCTCTTCCTAGCTCGCTCTCTTCCTTGGCTCCCCCGCGCCGCCGCCAAGCGAGATCTAGGGCCAGCTCTCGCATCATATTCTCTTTCTGCTCTCTTCCTTGGCTCCCCCGCGCCGCCGCCAAGCGAGATCTAGGGCCAGCTCTCGCATCATATTCTCTCTCTGCTCTCTTCCTTGGCTCCCCCGCGCCGCCGCCAAGCGAGATCTAGGGCCAGCTCTCGCATCATATTCTCTCTTTGCTATCTTCCTTGGCTCCCCCTGTTCGGGAACATTGTGGAAAACAAAAAATTTCCTACGGTTTCACCAAGATCCATCTATGAGTTCATCTAGCAACGAGTGATTGGATGCATCTACATACCTTTGTAGATCGCGAGCGGAAGCGTTCAAAGAACGGGGATGAGGTAGTCGTACACGACGTGATCCAAATCACCGGAGATCCTAGCGCCGAATAGACGGCACCTCCGCGTTCAACACACGTACGGTCAGCGTGGCGTCTCCTCCTTCTTGATCCAGCAAAGGGGAAGGAGAGATTGATGAAGATCCAGCAGCACGACGGCGTGGTGGTGGATGCAGGGCGTCACAGTAGCAGGGCTTCGCCTTATACTACGAGAGAGAGAGGTGTAGCAGGGGAGAGGGAGGCGCCAAGACTCAAGGTGTGGCTGCCCCCTCCCTCCCCTCATATATATAGGCTCCCCTAGGGGGCGCCGACCCTAGGAGATGAGATCTCCTAGGGGTGCGGCGGCCAGGGCTGGAGTGGCCCCCAAGGCAAGGTGGGGCGCCCCTCCACCCCTAGGGTTTCAACCCTAGGCGCATGGGGTGGGCCTAGGGGGCGCACCAGCCCACTATGGGCTGGTTCCCCCCCCCCCACTTTGGCCCATGGGGCCCTCCGGGATGGGTGGTCCCACCCGGTGGACCCCCGGGACCCTTCCGGTGGTCCCGGTACAATACCGGCGACCCCGAAACTTGTCCTGATGGCCGAAACAGCACTTTCTATATATATAATTCTTTACCTCCGGACTATTCCGGAACTCCTCGTGACGTCCGGGATCTCATCCGGGACTCCGAACAACATTCGGGTTACTGCATATACATATCTTCACAACCCTAGCGTCACTGAACCTTAAGTGTGTAGACCCTACGGGTTCGGGAGACATGCAGACATGACCGAGACGACTCTCCGGTCAATAACCAACAGCAGGATCTGGATACCCATGTTGGCTCCCACATGCTCCTCAATGATCTCATCGGATGAACCACGATGTCGAGGATTCAAGCAACCCCGTATTCAATTCCCTTTGTCAATCGGTATGTTACTTGCCCGAGATTCGATCGTCGGTATCCCAATACCTTGTTCAATCTCGTTACCGGCAAGTCACTTTACTCGTACCGTAATGCATGATCCCGTGACCAAACACTTAGTCACTTTGAGCTCATAATGATGATGCATTACCGAGTGGGCCCAGTGATACCTCCCCGTCATACTGAGTGACAAATCCCAGTCTTGATCCGTGTCAACCCAACAGACACTTTCGGAGATACCCGTAGTATACCTTTATAGTCACCCAGTTATGTTGTGACGTTTGGTACACCCAAAGCACTCCTACGGTATCCGGGAGTTACACGATCTCATGGTCTAAGGAAAAGATACTTGACATTGGAAAAACTCTAGCAAACGAACTATACGATCTTGTGCTATGTTTAGGATTGGGTCTTGTCCATCACATCATTCTCCTAATGATGTGATCTCGTTATCAATGACATCCAATGTCCATAGTCAGGAAACCATGACTATCTGTTGATCAACGAGCTAGTCAACTAGAGGCTTACTAGGGACATGTTGGTGTCTGTTATTCACACATGTATTACGATTTCCGGATAACACAATTATAGCATGAATAAAGACAATCATCATGAACAAGGAAATATAATAATAATGCTTTTATTATTGCCTCTAGGGCATATTTCCAACAGTCTCCCACTTGCACTAGAGTCAATAATCTAGTTACATTGTGATGAATCGAACACCCATGGAATTCTGGTGTTGATCATGTTTTGCTCTAGGGAGAGGTTTAGTCAACGGATCTGTTACATTCAGGTCCGTGTGTACTTTACAAATATCTATGTCTCCATCTTGAACATTTTCACGTACGGAGTTGAAGCGACGCTTGATGTGCCTTGTCTTCTTGTGAAACCTGGGCTCCTTGGCAAGTGCAATAGCTCTAGTGTTGTCACAGAAGAGTTTGATCGGCCCCGACGCATTGGGTATGACTCCTAGGTCGGTGATGAACTCCTTCACCCAAATTGCTTCATGTGCTGCCTCCGAGACTGCCATGTACTCCGCTTCACATGTAGATCCCGCCACGACGCTCTGCTTGCAACTGCACCAGCTTACTGCCCCACCATTCAAAATATACACGTATCCGGTTTGTGACTTAGAGTCATCCAGATCTGTGTCGAAGCTAGCGTCGACATAACCCTTTACGACGAGCTCTTCGTCACCTCCATAAATGAGAAACATTTCCTTAGTCCTTTTCAGGTACTTCAGGATATTCTTGACCGATGTCCAGTGTTCCTTGCCGGGATTACTTTGGTACCTACCTACCAAACTTACG